TATAAACCCACACTCTTATTGTAATACGTTTCATTATGTAACAGTCACATAAACTACTAATTTAAGTAAGACGTAATTGAAACACAATATGAAATACTATTATTTATAGTTGCAGAAGCTACCGCTCTTCTCCACTTTGATATATAAAGTGCCATAGGCTCCTTAAATAAAAATATAAGAAAATAAATTGTCTTTTCTTTATTGTCATTTATGTATATTTTTTACATTATAACAATTCATATTCCACATTGGCATCATTATTAACACTTAACAATAAATAACGTAGCCATACTAACAAATCGACACAACGGTGTGGAAAGGGCGTAAAATGAAAACTGCACAGTTTACACGACTGTTAAGAAAATTATAAAAGGTTTGTATTATCTTTTTTAATTTTACAACTACAGACACATAAAAGCACATTAAACTCCCTACCACTCTGGAGTGTTGGCAGCAGTGTTGATACTTCTTTTAAATTTATTTGACTTTGGATTACAGTACTGCAGTCGAAATATAGTAGAAATATAGTGTATGATCTATGGTAGAAATCTTAAGAGGATTGAAAAAATAAACAGTATAGCATTGACTTACAAGATGAAAAAAAAAAGAAAAAGAAAGGAGCTGCCCTAACTACGCAATAAACGTGCATACATAACAAAAATTTAACGAACAAATGGCGAATTTCTTTAGTGTCGTACCACATCACATACATATCGATAAGTCATTACAGACATGCATACATTTAATTAGAGTAGATCAATATTCCATTTGGGAATATTTTAGGTTATCTGGGGATATCCGGGAATGTCACATGAAAATTTGAATTTATTGTTTTACGTTTACAAATACTCAAATATTACGAAAAGTGGATTTGCACAGAAAAAAAATTATATTTGTAATTTGAGAGTATATGTAAAAAAGAGAAAACTTTGAAATACAAATCCTATACATTTCCAACCTCAAGATTCAAATTTTCATAGAGAAATTTTTAAACAGATTCCAAATAGTATAAGCTTTTTTGTATTTATATCAGTATAGAATTAATATCAGTGACTGATTTAAATGAATCTATAATACTTCCATTTAATTTTGGAAATAAATGAAAGTAGAAATATTATCAATAATAATATTATTATCATACGTTTATTTGCTTAAAACATGGTATAACAGGAGATGTAACAAGAGACATTGTTAGTATAAACATGTTTCGCATACATTAAATAGCATGCAAATATCTGATTATACAATGTCAATTGACTACTATTGGCCGAGCGCCTTTGATTTGTGCAGAAAAATCGACACTTCTCCGAAGTGAGACAAATAGTCACGAGCGACTGCGAGTTGTGACAAGCCACGTCAAACGAGCTCTATACACGTTAGCGGTCACCTTCACTCGGTCAGCTAGGCGAGTGACACCGAACGATGGCAAGGCAAACAGGCTGTCTATACGTTGGTAGTGGCCTTCACTCGGCAACGTTAGACCAACATGGTCTTTGAATACAAAGACCATGTTGGTCTAACGTTTTATAAAGCCAGCAATAGCTGGATTTATACTTTATAGTTGTCAGGGGGAAAAAATCGGAAACGAGTGGATAATTTTGTTTTCAGGAACTAAGGGTCGTATTTCAGAACTCTACTCAATGCTCAAGCCAGGACTTGAGTATTGCAGTGAGCACTGAAAATCATACTCAAGTCCTTGCCATTAGGGTCGTATTTCCAGTGCTTGAAATCATACTCAAGTCTGCTCAAATCCTGACTTGAGCATTGAGTCGAGTTCTGGAATACGACCCTGAGAATGCCTAATAAATAAGTCTTGTTTAATCCAAATTAAACATAAAATTGTTTACCAATAAACCTAATGATGGAATTGCATTATCATGTAATCTAGTTACATTCAAATTTATGTTAAAATTTGACTCTTCAAAATGAAGCGAATAAGTGACGGTGGTCTTTGATTCAATGTTTATATGCGGCACTATTATACGGCGGTATGATTTTCAATCATTCTTTTTTCTTTTTTGATTTGTAGGTAAACTTGAAATAGTTAAAAATAATAAGAATAAAATAATAAAAACCACGTAGTGAATTATTATAATAACAGAATATCGATAATATGTACGCTTCCAAGAACAACACTATCTCAAAATAGTCGTTAACAACAATCATCAAAATATACAAACAAACAGGCAATCTGAAGAAACCAAAGCAAAATTTGGCAAGATTTAAGAATAAACTACTTAAATAGGTCTAATTACATGATATATTTCGGCTTTTGTGTGATTTATAGACAGAAAGATAACGTGCCTGTACAATGTTACATTCGGTCTATCTTTGCTTTTTCAAATGCCACATCCCGTAATGCTGCAGCGACGAATTTTTATTAATACTTAATTGTTCTCACTGTCAATATTTTAGTCCATTTTATTACAATATATGCGAATATTTCTATAAAACACTTGGAAAAACATTTGTTTTGACATTTGATGTACTTCCCTTTGACAACCGTATCATCTACCTCATGTACTGCGAAATGGACACGGTTGTCATTTAAGATGACGTTACGTATTTTCGATTCCTTGTTTCACATAGACCAATGTAATGCTATCTCTTTTGGCTTAAGACGGCACGCAAGAGTTAAACAAAGACATGTTTATGTTTTCAACGTCAAAATGCATCATATACATATAACGTCTAATTTAAATATGTCAACATAACATGTCCTTTAGTTTCCATAGTTCTATTGGCAAATCAAATTGCTATTGGCTTTTTTAAAATGGGTTTTTACGGCTCTGGGTACTCTACACTATTGAGTGGATTGTAGTGTTTGTGTGTATAAATTATTTTATATAATATTCCACAACTCAGCAACAACGTCACAATCTAACCAGCATTTACGAATACAGTACAAAAAGAACAGTCATAGTTAAAATTGAACAATAAAACACATTTAGTTCACTAAGCCGAAACCAAAAAACAAAAATATGTTTTTAAAACAATTATATTGCACAATCAATTCCTATAAATAATATTGCATATAAGTTAACTAAGATATTTTATTAAAGTCTAACGTTAACGTAAAAAGGAACCTTATCAATTAAGTTGTTGTATTTAATTGCCTCGTCAGTTAAAAAATAACCGATAAATTCATAGCCGAAAATCAGTGTTTTGCGCATTGAGCTATGATCTTATTACCGCACACAGTGCTGTTCATTATTATTCATTAGGCGATGGCTGTTTTTATGCTTGTTGTTTGTTTGTTTCTAGTGTCAATTTTATTTGTATTGTTGCGCGTGTATGCAGCAAGACAATGAAAATCTCAATGAGCGGCTATACAAACATGTAAGTAGAGGTGTCAACTCAAACGCACAGTTACGCAGGACTATTGCTGGAATTCCATCTGGTCTACTAGCTATATTCACGTCTAGACTTCGCAGTACTTCTTTTTAACAGACTTAAAAATAAAGAGATTTTCATTTCGACTGTATTTTTTTGGTGTGTGTATTACGTGATTACTCAGGCATTTCTGAACCGATTGCGATGATTCTTTTTTGTTGGAAAGAAGGTGTGGTGATCCCATTTAAATTTAAAGAAAATATTCCACCTCCAAGCATGGCAAACTAGGGGATGAATCCGGTTTTTCCGGTAACCGATTTCAATAGAACTTGGCAAATGGATGTAATTCCACGAACCTTTGAGGTCAGTTTTATTTTATAAAAAAAGTTATTCGCGTACGCGAACTGGAGCCATAGTGCAGCCAGCCTTAAGTGATGTAGGCGGTAGGTTCCTTGCGGCATCCAGACCCGAATTCTCTACAAAGGACTTGAGGCCGCCCGGCCTCAGCACAGATGGTAAAGAAAGACATTATAAGTTTGTTTCAACCGCTTTGGTCAGGCACCAAAAAGACTTGCCAGCTGCTGGAAATGAGGCACATTTAGCCTAAGGGCGGCGCAGATGGTTCAATTTGGCCCTGCGTAATACGCATTTGCACTACCTGGAGGCTTTAGTAAGACTTTCTTCAGATTCCGAATATTCGGAGCTTTGCGCAGTCGAGCATCTAACCAAGCTCGGTACGCGGACTGTTTTTGTGCTTCAGCACGAATACAGTCAGCGTTAAACCATGAAAGAGTCATTGAGTCCATTGGGTATAACAGAGTATGGAATGCAATGACTACATGTCCAAACGCAAAACTTGAACTACAGCTTCAGCACAGCACGACGAGTCCACTGAAAAAAACAAGCCAAGCAAGGGATATGAAACAAAAAAATGGCACATTTCATCCCAATCTGCTAACTTGTATCGCCACACTCGTCTCATGGTTACTAAAGTCCTGATAGGGTAAGGAGTATACCGATACAGCTTTCACCAGACAATGGTGGGATGTATCCAAGAGGGACCCACAACCACAGAATCAGTAGTTAGCAGGTCCAATCAATTATGAGACTCAAAATCTGGGATCCTTTTGGTTGTTACTGCCAAACTGGGAAAGGCGTTTACGCAAGTTTTCGCGTCTCTCTCACAGCAAGATCGGTCATCTGGTGTGGGAACAACCATACTTGATTGTGAGCATTAAAGTCCCCCAGAATGACTAGCTGCGCCGTTGTACACATGCGCTGAGCCTCAGACGTGTTTCTCAGATATTGAAACAACTTGGATGCCTCCTGATCCCCACTGAGCGAGCGCTAGACACAGCAGTACACTACTTTGTGTGATTTTTTTTATAATACAAGTGACGGGACGAACATGTTGTGCGCCTAATGGTAAACGACACGCCTGTCCACAACAGTTGCAGTGTCACTCAGAGCTTTAAATCACAAATATCTGAGGAGAACTGCCTCTGCGCCCATCACCGTGAGACATAAGTTGAAAAGTCCTATGTGCCTGCAATTTCACCAGCACTCTTACCCTTCAAAACCGTTACGCAGTAATGTTCACATTACTGCTTGGCGGCAGAAAGAGGTCAGGGGCCTTACCATGAACTCTTATTACAGTTCAGTATAGGTTCGTAACGTCTAAAAAGCGGGATGGTGATATACACTTCATCTAGCGCTGTCTCACTTCAATTTAGGTCCTAAACTGAATCGTAATAAGAGTTCATGCTAAGGCTCAAGGTGGCAGTACTTCCCTGGATGAACTCTTTCTCAAGGAGCTCTGCTACTCCTAAGTCAACGACAAGCCACAAATAAAAAAAAACTCGGGAGAGTCAAGGTTCTTGAGGCAGATGTCATCACAAACGTACACATAGACTCCGGCACGAGGTGCCGGTGTATCACCTGTGCTCCACAGTACACCCGAGATAGCCGAGGTACGCCTCAGCTGGACATCTGATTTGCGTCTCGGCCAGGAACAGCAGCTTAGGTTTATCTATCTGCTCTAGTTTACGCGTAGCAGTCGCAGCAAGTGATGATAATATTGTGATATCACTCCGTAGTATAACTTTTACGGGGCAGTAATGTTATATTGCATAACTTTTAGCATTGTTTTGCACAAGTCTAATTCCGCCTTTTCAGCTCGGTGTTGCTCGTTCAAATAACTTTTTTATATTTATTTGTCAAACTTTGCACAGTGTAGTCATTTACACTGTTTTTACTATTTATTATATTTATTCGACTCCGTCTACTCCATGTGAGATAATGTAACTATGAATATTTATAACCTATGTAACAACAGGTCTAGAAATTTCCCTAGCGTTTTCAAATTCAGCTAAAGTAATACCATGATTAGACAACATATGGCTTTTTAAACTACATTTCTGAACGAAAGCTAAACCGCAAACGCCACATTTGAACCGCCTGTCATTATTATGAATCCTAAGGTGTTCCCTTAAAGTCTTTTTTCGCGCGTACGCTTTATGACAAAACGTGCATTTGAACACCCTTTCCCCATTATGTTTCACCATATGCTCGTCCAAAGATTGCTTAATGAAAAAGCCTTGCCCGCACTCTGGACATATATGATTACGTTCCATAAGATGAACTTTCTTTATATGAGAAGTTAATTTCGACTTTAATATGAAAGATTTGTCGCAAATGTTACATTTATACGTAGCGGCAGCTGTGTTATGGTCTTTGAACATGTGTCTATTTCTTTGATAATAACTGTTGAAAGATTGGTTACATTGGGGGCAGTTAGTTGTATAACGCGCGTTTGTGTTATGCGTGTATTTCTCGTGGCACATTTTTCTAACTTTCGTAGTGAAAACTTTATCACAAAACGCGCATTTGAAATTGCCAATTTCATGAGTTCTTTGATGGTTTTTTAACCTGTGCTTGTTTATGAACCCCATATCGCATATTTCGCATATATAGTTCCTATAATGGCCGTTCATGTGCTGTAATAACATTTTAAAAGTTTCGAAAGTCGAATTGCACAACGCGCAGTTTAAAACTTCACTTTCAGTCATTTTGAATTCAAGGATATAATCGTTTATTTCTGGATAGAATTTTATGTCATGTTCCAGCATGAGATGTTTTTTTAAATTGCTGATTATGTCTATTTTTTTATCGCATAAGTTGCACTTTAAATCTGTAATGTCCATTTTTATCGATAGATTGTTCTTGTCGCGACCCTTTTCGTGGAGGACGTCGCTTTTGTGTTGAGTTTTTGTATGTGCTTTCAATGAATCCACGTCTTGGAAGTTTTCTTTGCAGAAAGCGCACGCGATCCCCGTTAAAGTTTTGTTAGAAAACGGTGTACAGTTTGAATATTTTAAAATATTATCAATGTTCACTTTGTGTTTTTGGTTTTCCGATAGTTTTATAAATTTTATATTTTTGACGTTTACAGTTTGGTTGATTTTTGACAGCGAGCGCAGCGACAGCTTCAATGGCGCGATCAGCTTTTTTGACTTCTTATCTGTAATAAAGAAAGATAAATCGATTTTATTGAATATCGTGATTTTGATCGTGATCTTTACTAATATGATATTGATTTATTTTATGTGAAATTAATTACTCAACTAGTTTGTTACAATTAACGGTCGAAAAAAGATGTTCCACATACATAGCTACATGTATAGATATAGCTACAAGAAGCGACATAGAGTTGTTAAGATCGCCAAATACGAATTAATTAACTGCCTCTGTGGCCGAACGGTTACCATGCCGGACTGCCATGCAGAGGTCCTGGGTTCGATTCCCAGGCGGGGAGAAATATGTGTATGGCCTACATTTATTTCTCTCGTGAGTTTGGGTGTAATTTGTGGTTGTCTATGTGCGTGTCCATGGCACCCGCGACACAGGGTTTCCCGAGAGCGGGGCGGTGTTGAGTGTGTGCGTAATTACTTTTTCGAATTCCGGGTTTCCGGAAATGGTTTTACAGCATCGTAAGACAAAGCTACTGACCTAGGAAGTCGAAGTAGCATTTTAAAGTAATTCTAATGGTGCCACGTAAAAAAAATGCAATAGATAACTGACCTTTTACCAAAGCAGAGAATAAAAATTTAATGAGAATGGTCACTCTCCGCCCCTCGCTAGCTTTGGACACTGCACCGCGCCTCGCATGTCACACAGTCGCACAGTCACATTGGCGGAACGGCAACAAGGCTGTCAGTTATCTACTGCATTTTTTATATGGCACTATTAGAAATACTTTAAAATGCGACTTCGACTTCCTTGGTTAGTAGTTTGTGCTACGATACAGTAAAACCATTTCCGGAAATCCGGAATTCGAACAAGTAATTAATTAATATTTTGTAGTTTTAACAACTCTATTTCGCTCCTTGTAGCTATGTCTATATATGTATCTATATATATGAGGAACACCTTTTTCCGACCATTGGTTATAATTAACACAAAGATCGAACTGAAATAAAAACCACCCGATCTTACAGGACCCGAACCTGCATCAAGCTATGGCCACCGCTCTACAACAAAAATAATTACATGTATATTCACGGCTGTAAAATACCATGACACTAAACAAAAATCAATAAATAATGTTAAACTGTAACGTTTTTAATATTTTCATCCGTTTCCGCTTTTTTATAATGTAATAAATATATTTCGATTTTTTTCCCGTAAAGTTCCGTAACTAAGTCGATGTTACAAGATGTTAATTTGGTTGCTGTTCCTGCCAAGTCCACGGGCCGGGTATTTTTATACTAGCGAGATAGTGATACACCTGACTGCTCTTGCAATAATGTAGGCCCTCTGATTGGTTGATCGTGCATTCAACACTTTTAGTATACTATTCAGAGATTTTAGATTAATGTGAACATAGCGTCATTCGCCAATAAAGGCATTCTGGTTCCAACCAACAGCGTTTCACTGGAAAGTACCTATAGCACTCAACACCTAAACTACGACTAAAGACCATAAAAGAATATGATTTTCTTACTGTTGTCTGTTATTTGCTTTCGCTTTCTGTCCTTCCGCTTGACAGTGACTCCGCTAAGTCCAAGTATGTCTGCCAACTTTCTGTCATCATCGTCATCTTCGAGATATTCCTCATCCCCGTCCTCAAACTCCGTCACTTCTTCTTTTACTTCTAAAATCACGAAACGAGAATATATAATAAACTTAATATTGCAATTGTGAAAGCGACATCGACATCTCTAGCCAGCCGCTGGTAGTTGTAGAGGTACCTGGTTAAGTGAAGAAAAACTTACTAACTAAACATACATTTGTCACAGATGGCGCTACGGCAAAAAAGTCGTAAAAACAAAAAATAAATAATTTTGTAGTCGCAAATTGTATGAGCAACCTCGACATTATTGTGAAATAGGTACTGTTAAGTATTGCAAAACTAAATACGCATGATGTAGGTTATGACATAACAAGCTATTACGTGTTTATTTTAGAGAGAGTTCAATAAACGGAATCATTGAGTTCGCACACGTTTCATTGCCAACATCCCGTTCCAGTGATAAACGGATTGATTCTGCAGCAAACAACAAGCTTAGAGTAAAGAATCTACCTTTACACAAACGGTTATGTAGTTTTTTTTAGTAATGTAATGTCTGTGTACTGTCCTCTTATACAGAATAAATTATTTCTATTCCATGCTATATTACAAGGAAAAAACTGACTACTTGTATTTTATATTAAAGGGGAATTAATTGATATTCACGGCCATTGACTTACAATTATATGGACGTCGGGTCCGCGCTAAAAAGTGTCCGAACTTATAGGGCGTTAAAATCGTATACAGAGCGTCATTCACGCTTTAGTCTTCATTTGTTCGACTGACAGCGAAGCAAGCAGAATTAGACAGTACTGCGAAGACATTACAATTTAAATTCAACGTGTTAGCTTTTTCATATTGCTTTACATGTCACTACGTTTAAACTTGGGACATTTTTTTCGTGGTTTTTGTATTAGACCCGTCGTTCATTTATTTGTAAGTCAGTTTTGTTTTGTAAGTCAATGTTCATGGCCATTTATATAATGTAAACTACTTCCAGGCTATCAATCAGCGCCATCTGAATATAAGACGGGGTTTTACATTTTCTGAGTTACGATCTGTATGGCGATTAGCAGTCGTTTTGATTTACTGGTCCAGGATACAACGCATTAACATTTGGGGTAACGTAAATTGAATTTGGAAGTCTCCATACTTGGTCCGAGCAGAAGCGGAATTTGCAACGTTTTTTTCGCTCTTACTCAATTGACATAAAGCTTTTACTGACCAGGGGGCGGCCTACCATAACCTTTCAAAAAACTATCTTATTTCAATGTAAGCTTATAGTAAGCTTATTACTCGTATTCGTACCATGACCAACCTATCAACCAAGTAATGTATTATTGATAAAGTGACTGAAAGAACGAATGATTTCCCAATTTTGTCTATTCCTTACTATAAATGGGAAAGAAATAACGCTATATGAACTGTATAATACCATCTCTTTCTTTTTTGATGTTCCGAATCGTCATATCATAGTATAATGTTAAAGTACTTAATATTATTTACATTCGGTTAATTTTAACTGCCAAAAAGAGAAAAGTACGTAATAATGAAATCTATTAAAATTACATTGTTTTCCATTAGTATTCAATTATTTTTCATGAAGAAAAATAAATAAAACAAGCTGAGTTTTGATTGTCACGTTGTTGTGAATTCGGAATAATTATAGTCTTTAGTAATAATTATAGTGTCAACTGTTTGTGGAGCGTTAGCTAATGGAGCGTCGGGTGGTAGTAAAGTCTTCCCTAAATTCCCTGTCCCCGAAAACCGTCTGGAAAGGTCTTCCCCAAGGATCTGTTTTTAGCCCGTTACTATACAGTCAATTCATTCTGCGATGTACTCCAATAAGCTTGTTACGGACGGCCGTGCGCGCCTGGCCGGTCAGAGCTGAAGTTC